TTAATTCACTAGCTGCAATTACATATGATTGCTTAATTAGAATAAGCTGTAAAAAAAAATAAAACTATTATGCTGCACTTGAAAAAAAAATTGTGCGTTTGGCTTCAAAGTAATTTTGCTTGGTGAAATTGTGCTATAAAGCAAACAATGTTTATATGCTGATTTTTTTTTAAAGGAACAAAAAGTGCCATGCTTAATAATATATAATTTATTCCAGCCATTATATAAATGGTAAAATGTCACACAATAAGCTGACACCCCTTTAAAAGTACTCAGTGCAATGCGATGCAATGTCAAGATAGCATGACCAGTCTCACAGAACTGATTTTCAAGAACACAATAAGCTCATAGTTCAAAGCAGCCCCTACAGTAACAATGCTAAATATTTTTCATATTTCATTTTCTGCCATTTACGCAGAAATCTTCACAGACATAGTGTCCTACCTAGTCTAAAGGACAGCCTTAACTGTTGCTATGAAATGCAAGTTCTTTATCATTTCTTAATATCAAGACCAAGTAATGTTGCAGTACAGAAAAATAGTACTTGTATGTAAAATCTGACAATTGAAATACATAACTGGGTCTGGAAAGGTGGATGGCTTTGTAACATTCGGCAACCTGTTCAAATTTCAGGCATAAGCACATTGAAAAGGCTCTGTAAAAGTGATGGAAAGCAAAGATACATCATAATACTGTAAAGCTTTCTGAATCTCCTCCCCTCCCTTCCCCTCCCCTGCCCTCTCCTTCAGGGCTTTAAAAATGTCTTGCTTCAGGGACATTCCAAAATAGCCAAAATGAGACATTTGGGTTTGAACTAACAGATATTGCCTGCTTTGACTATTGTTAGCTTGATTCAGAAAGAGCTTTAGACATCTAACACCATTTTCAGTATCTCAGACCAAAAATTGGAATCCTGTTAATTAACAAGGCCCTCAAGAATTAGTCACTGCAGTGCTGAACTTAAGTCCCCAGTGTACAATTAGCCATTACCCTACAATGAGATTTGGCTTTGCAACCTCTCTGCTCTTAAGTGTTTCTGTGGAAACATCACTTCCACCATTGCAAGGTACAGTTTCATCAGGCCATTACTCCCACCCTGAAGTAGAAGTGTGTTGATCAGAGCTACTCTCTTCTTCTAAGTCTAACAATGCCAAGCACATATTTGGTGCTCAGTAATTAATAACATTTCTGCATGGCAGTATGAGATTGCATTTGAAATATGGATTGATGACAGCTATCCATCTCCTACACAGCAAATTACCTTTGCTTTGCCTTGCATTAAAAAAACCCCAAAGATATCCTGAGGTATCTTTCAGTTAGTTAAAATTTTACTGAAAAAGGAGAGGAAAAAAAATCTTATGTCTAAGAGTAAAAGCCAGTTTTTAATTGCTTGGATTTTTTTTTTTTTTCAGAGGACAGTTTATCTAAAACAACTACTTTTCTCTGTTGCAATCACTTGTCTTCTTTGGTAGTCTTTCTCAATGGGTGTAGTGTGGACATTTTAACAGAATCTGTATGCTACTACCAGCATTCTACTCATAGACTGTTTTTCAAGGATTTAATTAAGTCTTTGACCAAACTATACAGAAACGTGGGCTATGCCGTATCTTCTAGGTGTGGCCCATCCTCCAGACAGGGGATATATTGCCGTATGGAATGGACTGCTGGTCAAGGCATCCAGGACACTCTACATGGAAACCAGGAGAAAGCAGGGGCAGGAGGGGGCATGAGTACACCTGGGTCTCATCCTAACATGAAGTCAGGACCACTAAGTTACCAGCAACTGGTTCTAAAGTGTAGGCATAGTCTAATAAAGTCCATATTTAAAGACTATCATCTCTTGTCAGTACAGGGGCCCATGCCTTCACTGGGAAAATAACAAGTAGGGATCTACACATTAAGAGATCAAAACCTGGTTCCTACAGCATTGTAGTCTCATTGTATTGGTCTCATTCGGGATGATGATTCCCATATTGCCCCTTTATTTTCCATAGCATCCATTAATTTTGGTCTACAAGAGGAGTTTTGACGGAAGGTGAAGAAGGCAAGGAAAAGGTCTAACAGTCCTTCAAACCTGAGCAGTCATGCTGGTGTTTCCTGCATGTATCACATGTACATTGAGTTCACTAAAAGCCAAGGCAGTACAGACATGGTTTCTCTCAGCCCAGGAGTAACTTTCTTTCTCTCTACTGATCCCCTCTGGAGGGTGCAGTGCACTGCTGCATAAGACAAAGTGATGTGGCAAAGTATTTGGCAAATGGACAAGCACCACAACAACTGAATTATTACTTCCCAAATTTCCTGTCACTGATCAACACATATTAGTATGTATCATTAAGCATTTGTTCTAAGACAACTCAACCCTGTGCAAAAAAAATGACACAGCCCACAATGCCACACCCAGCCCCCCCAAAAACACTAAAAATGACCCAAAATCTTTTAAATCCTTCAACAGAACTTAGTAGCTGCCTTTTTGCACAGAAGCAAAGTATTCTCTCTCTTTTCTTACCAGAACATAGTCCTGGAATTGACCCTGAGAAAAGAAATCTATTCTTGCAAATACTGCTCACACTGTAGTGTTTTATGCCTCCTCCATACACCAGCTGAAATACAAAATTAATTTTCATATTGGCATTCGTTACGACAACTACAAAGACATGTTTGAGGTTTGAGGGTTTTTTCTCTCCTCAGCTTAACTATTTTAAAGCAATCCTTTTTTTAACAACAGAAAGGGGACATTTTTTCTAGTGCAAGACATTCTGAGGCAAAATCATGTCCTTCATCTGCTCTGAAAGATGAAAACTCTTTTACTCAGAACCTCTGGTGTCCCTTTCCAGAACAGTCACCCAAATGACTTCGCAGCTTCCACGCACTGGTTAGATGCACTTTCCATACCAGGATGGTTGAATAGAGTTTGGTCACTATTTTCATAATGACATGGGTATTTAGCACTGAATGAATGGCAGTGGAAGAGGTATTATGGTTCAAGGCTTTGAGGCATTCTGTGACCACATATTGTTTCTGATGGTGTAATTTGCTCTTGAGTGGATGGTAAAACTTGAGAGTTTCCTATCAGTCTGTCTGAGATCCATTCCACTGACTTTCATGGCAGCGAAATGTATGCTAATGACTGAGGATTTTGGGGGTTTCTTTATTGGGGTCACATGCACCCTGACCTGGGGTTCTTCAGGATGGAGTTACCAAGGACACTTACCTCTTGTTTCCTTCTGTTGGCTACTTTTTAGTATTCAACTTACTGTGTGAGCATTTAGGCTCCCCAAATTCCTTCTCTTAGTCTTGACTTTTTCTCCTTCTCTCATGTTGGGCAAATAGTACCTCTTTTGATTATCAGGTCTAAATGTAACTGTGTTTCCTTCCTGCTCTTCCTAAACTCTACTTCCTTTGATGTCTAACACCTTCACTCCAACTTTATTTCCTTTTCTTTCCTGTCAAGTTTCTACACACTTTTCTCTTTGCTCTTTCTCTCTGGCTACCCTAACTGAATGTGTATGATCCAGCTTGACTTCCTTTGTATTTTCAGTGAATTTATCTACTCTCTAAGCCCCTCCACTTTTTCTTCTGCTCTAGGAATCGACTTCCATTTAATATGTATGTGTCCTGTGCGAGCTTCATGCCTATCTGGGAGCACTGCATATACCACGCTCTGGATTGCCTTAAAGCCTTGGTAGCCAGTCCACAAAGCTTCTGTTGTTCCTCCTTTCAGTAAGGTTACAATTTGTAAATGAAGGGACTTCTCTGCACTGAGCACACCTCATTGTACTGTAACCGGTTCACTCTCAGGTTCACTAAGCAAGCTTCTTCCTCAGTTATTTATGCAATATGCACTCCCTCTGAGGATCCACTACAACTGCATCCAAAGAGTAGCCTGACTTTTTGTGTACTCAGGTTATTTCTCTTTTACAGGGTTCTTTTCAAGGTACGTTTTACTATCTAGATCAGGTTAATGGACAAGCAATAAATAAGTCATTTATTCTCTAATGTTGGCAGTGTTAAAATGTACAGGCTTCCCCACGCAAGTGTGTTAAATAAACACAATGCACCTCATAGCACGTGGGAATGGGATATCCCAAACTCTTTGAGAAGACATCTGAAGACATTTTGCCCAGATTTTACTAAAGCATTTAAACACTTAGCACAAGAATTTGTACAATTAGGGTGAAATTCACCACTGGAAGAGAGCCAGCGTAAGACCTCTTCAATGCTCACATCGCAGTTAGGTGCTTCAGAGGGTAAACAATGACCAGGTCTTCTCCTGGTATCCTATCCAGGGACTAATTAGGTTCCCAAGTGTTAAACTGTTTACACAAGTTAATTTTTCATCCAAGTGCAAGGTATGGTATTTAAAACACTTACAGTACTGCACTGGGCTTTAGGATTTGGGTTGTTTTCACTTGAAATTTCACTTTTATGTCTACAAAGCAAGTCATCTAGCCTTCTTTTATTGCTAATGGAGAGAGAAAGGCCCATTCATGACATGAACTGAGAGCCCACCCAAATTTTACCCAAGCAACTAACACTGGTGCTTGACAAGCAGAGGAACAGGTCAAGTGTTACAGAGGTGGAGGATCGGAGGAAAAGATTGTTAGGATTGAGACCGTGGCCACTAGTTGATTTCTCACTGATCTTTAATTTAAGTGGCGTTTCCCTTAAACTGTTTAGCCAAACATTTTGGTCTAACTCCAAAAAAGTATTAAAGACAAAAGGTTAGCATGTTATCTATTCTGCAGAATTTTTTAGCTCCTCCTGTACATTAAAAAACAGAAAATGGTGAGCACCTCTCTTGCATAGCCCTGTTTGCTTTAGCACAGGTCTGGGATTTTATGCAGCTATTCCACCACTCCCATGGCTGCTTTGCACTGTACCCCACCACTGCTGCAGTAGCATTCATGTGCATGGCCCTTTGCACAGCAGCTGTCACAGAAAGCTGAGCACACAATCACTTCTTTCTGTTTGCTCCTGTTGTTGTCGTGATTTATTAGGTACAAAGGCAGGAGACTGGCCCCGCACAAGTCGGAAATAGAGTGTTTCACCCCAAAAGGGAGTATGGGGAATGGTGGGAGAGCTACAATGACCAGGTAAGCAAACAGCAAGTGGCCTTAGGGCAGTGTGATATGTCTGTGAACAAGAGGAGCAGCCCTGGGACAATGCCAGGCCAGATCCTCTGTCTGTAATTCCTGTGCATCCCATTTAGTATGTCTAGAAAATAAAAAGAAAAAAGAAAACACGTGGCCACTGCCAATTTCTATGTTCCATCTGACCACCAAAAAAACCCTGCACCATGTTCATATGAGTGATCCAAACCACGTGTCCTGTGTCATGTTGTCGTAATATGGTGCTTTGGGGAGGAGAAACCTTACACCTGACTCATTAATCCAGCAGAGCAGATGAAGAGAGACTTTCATTCAAACTTGGAGTAAGCAGCTCCAGAACTCCTCTGGAATGGTGGCCCCACTACATATTAGGGGTTACATTAGGTCTAATCAAAAGAGCTTTTAAAAAGAGCAGAGAAAAACTGATTGATGAAAACATTTTCAATATGAAAATGTTGGTTCTTCTCAATCAAAATATCTTGGGGGTAAGTGCTGAGATTTACAGTGGTTTTAGGGAAAGGTTTCAGGCTCATTTTAAATAGAGTTTACAACATCTTTTTCATAACTTTCTCCGTTTTGTTTAATTTAGGTATTTATTTTCAATTTTGTTTTGGCCATTATGTATTGCATAACTTTATAGACCAGTGTTACAAAATTTTGATGAATATCAAATACTACATTTTTTTAGTGTTACTGGGATGAACTGTTTCAATATGGCCATTTTGAAATATTTGAAATATTTCAAGCTATTTAATTCTGCAAAATATTTGGCAATTTCAGCTATTCATCTCATTTTGAGTCCAGTCAGATTTCCAAATGTTGAACTCTCCCATAGGACAGAAAATCCATTTCTCAAGACATTGCCATCAATAACTGAATAAGCTGTGTCTGTCACAGATGTTTATAAATATTTCATGAAACTATCCTCTTAAAAAGCATTGTATCATTGTGTTAAATCCTACTAAAAGTAAGAAGCATTTTGTTTACCATTTATTAAAAGATCTACTCATTCCCGATCAACCCCTGGAAGGTATTTATAAATGTAAGCTTAGAGCACAGCATGACCAAATTATACCTCTACTTTTCCCAAGTGTTACATCACAGGTGAATTTTATCATTGCAGGAGGGTGTTCAGTGAAACACTTGCACAGTGTTATGTTCCCCTCGGGTACAACAATATTCACTCATGTACATAAGTCTATCAACTATAACGCCACATAGCACACACCTGGGGGACTCCTGCTGTTTAAGTAACATCAGGAACATTCATCGCTGGTTCTTGTACAAAATGTCTACACGCCTGTTATTTTTTGTCAGCTGGGATTCTGTTTCTTGTCTGTGTGTTGTCTGATTTTTTTTTCCTACATTGCATTGCCTTCAGTGATATTTATTCTTCATTTAAAAGCTGTCTGGAGTCACTATATAAGAGCATTTTGAAGAGAAGAAAAGTACATGTAAATGTCAAACAACTGTATTTTGTTGTACAGTATTCAGCTCTGTTTTGCCTGGCCATATATATACACACTTGAAAAACTTCTTTTTTATATTTTATATCTTCACAGTGAAGAATCTGTTTGCATTCCAGACTGTAATCGATCTGAGTCAAGTAGAGAGGAGAAAAAGGTTCCTGTTAAAGAGGATGCCCTAACAGTCAAAAAGACTGGAAACTGTGTCAGTCTAATAGTTCCACAGCAAGACTGTCAGCTGCAAGACCTACTCAAACAGTTAAGAACACCTGCTGCTTAACAGAGAGTGCAATTGCATTTGATGGCTGTGTTTTGTTGTCTCCAGCCACAGTGTCCTGGCCAGTGGTCGGTCCTTGTCAGATTTCATGACCTAAGTAGAGTTGCCACTGAATAGCCTGGCAACCTCCCAGAGAGAACGTAGATGTTGCAGAAAGGAAGGTAGTAAGTGTCCTTCTCCTGTCTCAGTAAGTATCAGACCAGTGCTAGAAGTCACTGGGATGAATTGCAGATGGAAAAAATATGAGGAAGAACTTCTTTACTTCGAGGGTGACCGAGCACTGGGACAGGCTGCCCAGCGGGGCTGTGGAGTCTCCTTCTTTGGGAGATATTCAAAACCCACCTGGCCAATGTCCTGTGTAACATGCTCTAGGTGACGCTGCTTTAGCAGGGGGGTTGGACTGGATGATCTCTGGAGGCCCCTTCCAACCCCTGCCATTCTGTGATTCTGTGATTCTATGAAAAAGACAGATACAGGGGTCTGATCGTTTGTGAATAATGAAAAAATCTCATCATCTCACGGGACAAAGAGGTCCCTTGATAGTGACCAAATCCCACTTACACCCTTTCAGTCTAAAAAATGCTCTGCAATTTCATACTGGGCAGTATAGTTCAGCTCATGTTCTCAAATCCCTTGTGCAATATTATTTTTGTGTTCCAATCCTAGCGTGGATATTTTTCACATCAGGGCCTGACTATCATTGTATATTAGTCTTACAAATGGCTTGGGATCTTTCAAATGAAAAGTGACATAAAAATAGCCGTAATGGGTACACTGTGTGATGCTTTGTAAAGCTATTTCTGTTTAAGAGAAGTTTCTACAGCCTGCATTACCTGTGAGCATCATTCACGTATATCTGCTAAAATCAGTTATGAAATGGAATGTTTTATGGGGCTTTCACAAAGCAGGCATCACAGGATTTTTTTTTTTTTTCATTTCTTGCATCATATTTGAATTTCTGATTTGATTAAATGCAACAAAAAAGAAATTGCTTAATAATTCACAAGAGTAATTTTTCTGCTGGTAAGTCCTACGTGCATAAATACCTCTGTAATTATTTATCAGGCATGCCCAAAATGTGAAATTCCTCCAACTGTATGTTCTTTGCAGAGCATAGAATTCAAATCAGCCCTTGACTCTGGAGATACAACTGGGAGAGTTAAATCTTTCTCTTGTTTTGTTTTCGTTGTTTTTTCTTGTGCACTGCTTGTGCTCCTGATTTCAAGATTGGGTAAGCTGATGGTTCTATTTTTCCCAGTTTCTTTTTCATACATTTAGGAAATTATCCATTACAAAAAAGAAAAAAACATGTTGAATAAGTAATGTTAAAGCTTTGCGCATCAGGAAGCAGAACTCGCAGTTCAAGAGGTGCCATTGTCCACTCTCCATCCTGTGAATAGGATGCTCCAGTGAAGCAGAGACGTGCTCAGAGCTGCTCAAAGTGACATTTTTCAGAAGAGAAGCAAAGCCCAGCACTAGCTGCCTTAATTAACAATTGCAATGAGGCCACAGTAATAGAGGAAAGAAGTTACATTTGGTATCAAAATAATTTTTGAATTTTGGGTCATGATAATAGGCGTCCTAGAAATGTTTCATTCAGATACCAGACACTTCATTTCCCGTTCGAACCAGGCGTGCTGCTGAAAGAGCTGCCAGCATTAGCATCGCTGGTGGCTGCACTGGGAGGTCATTGGCAAAGTTTCTGTCCATCAGCTCTCTCTCATTTTGTAGTTTCTTTCATCTTTATAGATTAAAGTAATTCATATAAATGCCCACTGTGATTTTTATGAGGAAAGGAGGTATCAACAGATTACAGTTCATGGACTAATATAATTAAATGCCTTTGCTGTTGTTAACAGAAAACAATTCTCTTTGCAAAATAATTGCAAAATGTGTTGTTTACTTCTAGAACTCAGGACAGGAAAAAATGAATTTTGTCCTTGTATCATTCTTCTTTTGTGTTTCATTGTTATTTATTTCCGTAGAACAAGCAACGTGGGAATGTAATTTAAGATAAATGACTTGAGTGATATATCACTAGCGGACTATTTGTGTGTGACAGAATTGCCTTTCATCCAGGGAAACAATTACACAAGCATGCTGAGGTTTCCTTAAAAACTATTCAAAATGGCAATAACATAAACCATAACAGTGGTAGAACTGTGTGAAGTCATCCAGGCCATCCTACAGTCCCAGGAAAAACTACAACTTTTTCATACAGATATACTGGAGTTCGCCACTTCAAGCACTTATTTAATTTCAGTGATTTTAGCATGTTGCAAGGCACTTGCATTCTCCCAAGGCTGAAGAACTTGGGTCACTACAAGCAAAATGTATATTGATCTGAGATTGGCTCAAGTGACAAGACTAGAGAAATCAAATACACATGTGCCCATGCTTGCATGAATCACGGGAACACGCACAGCTCACCCCTTATGAAGAGTCAGTTTTTTAATTAAAACTACAGATAGCACACAAATCCTTTTCAGGCACAGTAATTATATCATTGAGTCTTTAATAAGGTTGCAGCAGAGGACTCTAAAAGGACAACAGCTTCTTACTATTTACTTTGAATAACAAGAGAAAGTTGTATGGACTGAGTTAAGTACAGACCTTGCCAGCTGCTTCTGTGGATAAGGCAGAAGGACTTCTCCCTTAAAGACGGGAGAAGACCATCCTTAAGAAACAGACTTGGTCTGCACAGTGTGTGAGCAATTACTTAACTACATTAGCTTCTTAAAAAAACAAGATAATACTTCAAGTTTCAGTGCAACATTCTATTTGAGCCATTGAAACATCTAAGCATAACCTTGTTGCCAATTTTAGCTCAATAAAAATTAGACCAGTGTTCTGAAATATGAACTTTCATGCATGGACTTATAAACTGAATATTTTGAAATCATTCCTTATTATATTCATGTGAAGGCAGGTTGCAAATGGATCATACATTAAGTTACTGTCCAGTGTCTGTTCTCAGTTGTATCACTTTAAATCTGGACTCAGGTACTGATATTGGTACATGATAGAGAACAAAAACTCCCTTAAATTTTTGTATTAATCTCTACTATTGATTCCCCTGGTATTCCAGTTTCCACTGGTAAATGATATGATGTAGCTATTCTAAGCTTTCTTAGAAAATAAGAAATTCCACCATTTTAAACTGATTTTCCTACTTCATTTCAAGATATTAACAAGAGAATAAGTGACTTATTTTTAAAATGCACATGCTGTCAGCAACTGTCCCAATACTAGTCCCTAGGCACTCATCATCAGAATTAATTTTAGCAACTTCAGGTAATTAATGCAAATGGCACTCTTGCAAAAATATGAGAGTTTTCAGCTGCTGTTATTGTCAATTCCTCTTCCCGTTTTTCATTTTTTCTGCATTTTGAAGATGCATCACATGTCACAAAGCACATTTGCTTTAATAGCATCTGGCTAAAGAAACCCTAGTGGCAGAGCTATACACCATCTCATAGACAATCATACCACAGAGCATGAAATGCTGAAACAAAACTTCTGCTACCTCAACCAAAACAAAGGACAAAGTGATCTATTCTAGATAGTAAAAAAACCCCCATGTTTAAAGGGAGGGGAACATTTTTCTTAACACTTAAGTGGATAAAAAGCAGTTAATATTCCTTACAAATACAGAACAAGCCCTAAAGACAAAACTTAAGTGACTCTAAAAAGATTAAGTAAGGGAAGAAAATGTCAAACAATACTAATTGCTATTCTGTCAGCAAGTGGGCAACTGTAGAGGGAATATTTGAAATATCAGAGACTTCAAAAGCTCTCTCATTTATACCACTTCCATTTATTGTGCATGTTATATTGTAGTAGGTCTAGCAGGCGGGGAAAAAGCCTAGCTATCAAAATCAAAGCAGCTTTTAGTAAAGAAACTGGAGAAACAATTAGTATGAATGTTTCTAAGGAAATCCCTCTCATACATAAAACTGAACATAATTAACCTGTAGTGAAAGGAAACAAAAAATGTGCCATGTAAAAGGTTTTTTTTGCCAAAATAAAAAAAAAACCCGAAGTATTTTGCTAACATTTTGGGTTGGAAATTATGCCACTGACTGAGTGGAGTTTGCTCTTCTCCAGATTTGAACTGTGCTCTGCTCTGCTCTACTCAGTACAGTGTGCCAGCAGAAAAGCAGAGTGGAGTAGAGAAATGAATATTCAGACAAACTTAGCAGTGGAATCCCTCTGAGAGCTCAAAAGTGTAATTCTGTTGTTCTCATGTGAGGGAGCCAAAATCTGTTCACAAGAAAACTCTAAAATTTCACTGACCTAATGTTTCCCATCATCAAAGGGTCATGGCAGAGATGGGCATAATATATGTAAACAAGTCCGTTGGTAGCCATCATAGTCTATGTGTCTGATCTATCTTTATTTCTCTATTTTCAAATTGTGTGCATCACAGTGGTTCCCAGTTAACTTGACAGAGTAGCAATATGCAGTTAGAGCAGAATCATAAAGTGCTATCACTGGAATTTATGCGTAACCTAGCTTCATACTAATATATGAAAACAAGTGGTGCTCCTTTCACAGAGGTGATAAATGATTGCACACCTCAGCACAGTGTTGACTTAGTAGTAAGTAGGTGCAGCATGATAAAGTGGATGATACATTTCTGAGATAACAATTCCAATTATTGCTGGGCAAACTACAAGGATTTTAACTATAGGGTTCATTTGTTACTGATAAATTGCTGTTTGCTTCCTATTCGGCTTTTTAAAATCAAGGAATTTGCAATGAATAATGGTCAAGTCTTCCAGGCTTTTGCACAAAATTTACATCAAACAGTCACTGGGTCTCCTTTAGAGCCCTAGGATCTCTGTGAGAGGCACACATACAGTTTGATTACTCTTGGGCACAGCACAAAGTCAGTAAATGAGTGCATCAGACTGACTGACCCAAAACCAAACTGGGATTCAGGGGAGTTGGTGACACCTGCTCCATTGAAGATTTAACTGTCAGCATCTCTTGCCCAGGGCTGGATACATCCACAGATTTCATCCTTTTCCTTTTTCCAGGCTCCTCAGCCTCATATCCCTCCTTAATAATTGTCTCCTGAACAGTGACCAGGGAGGCAGCGACATGTTCCCTTCACAACCTCTTACAATCTGACCTTCAGTCAACTGAAAATGTCTATGTGCCTTTAGTGCTCATGTACACACTTAAAACTGTAGGGTTTGATCATCTCTACTAAGACAGTGCCTGAAATCAGGCGTGGTGCTAGAACATACCTTTTTCTTCAGGCAAGCATTTCCATTTCCATTGGCTAATCCTTCATGTTAATGGCATTTATTTAGCCTCTGTGGCAGGCAGGTCTTTCACAGGCCCCTCTAAGCTCTGAACTCAGCAGGAGTTAAGAGACCCCCACCAGGTAGGACACCCAGGACTGGAACTAGGCCCTCTTTTTCTGCCAGATCAAGGTTAAGAGTCCCAGGTCACCCAGCAGGAGCTGAGAGGAAGTCTCCTGGTCATCACACCAAAACTAGAGGCAAGATCTCACCTCCCCAAGAATCCAAATCCAGCTCCTGCTGCTGGCACTAAGCTCCCACTGAGCTCAGAACTCAGCATGACCAAGGAGCCAGGGCTCTCCAGCAGTTCTCAACACCCACCAAGTACGTGTTCCAGTGAGAGGAGCACACAGTCCTCAGAGGCAACAGTTTTCCTCTGGAAGATGTTAGTCCCAGCTTCTGTTCAGCCCAGAATCACATCCACAGAGTTGCAGAGTAAAAGTGGTAAGTGCCACAGGTTAGGTTTTGCTTTTCCTGCTTGCTCTGATCAAGGTTCAGCAAAAGGAAGGGATCACCTGAACAGCAAGTTACAAGCCACCGTCTGTTCTGCCTCACATTTTGGGGGTAGTTGCATAACAGTTAACTTCCAGGATTCCAGATAATAGCCTGGTGATCACTGCAGCAAAGGGGTGAGCCCTTATATACCCACCCAGATCACCTCCCAGCCTAGCCTCTCTTAAAATACCCACTGGTTTACATTGTGTTTGTCTGCTGGATTCTGTCACGCTGCTTTTGAAGGGGAATGCTGTTGGCATATGTTGTGTTACATGATCCATTGTAATTCCATGCAATGTAATCATGGATGTGAACCCACAGGGAAGTTTTCTTTTTGCTCAGCACATGACATCTTTTTTAGATGACTGGAAGAGCTGATAGTGTGTGGCAAGCCTCCACATGAAGGCTGGTATAAAGTCATCTGTGTTTAGTAAACTATGTGTCTTGCAAACTGTTACGCTGAAGGCTAACATGTGCGAGTATATCTATTTCAGGCTTAAAAAGCAAACAAACAAACAACAAATTTGTGATACTCTGCCAGGGTCTCCAATGTGGTTGTCTTTCCAAAAATTCTAAATGGCTGTAGCAAATGTTTTGGAAACCAAAGTGAGTTGTTTAAAGTTCTGTTGCATTTTATATATAAATCATGCCTATTCATATGTGAAGACTATGTTTTTCCTGTTGACATCATTTCAAAGTCATTGTCTGTTACAGCTAAGAAATATTTCTAATGATCTATCTTAATCCCAAGAACTATAGGTTAATGTATGTATAAACACCAGCTCATCAGCCTAAGGAAGATGTGAAAGGAAAGGAGTTTCATACTATGTGTTTAGAAGTGCCGCAGCTGTCTTTCCTTAGGTAGCAAGAGGAGAAAATAAGCAATTTTGATAAAGAGCAGGGTGTGATGGGATATGAAGAGAAATTACCCTAAGAGGACTCATTTTTGCCAGAGAATGGAAAAAACTAATTTCTTTAAGCTAGTAGTGGCTAACTTGCCAAGTACCTTGATGAAGAAGAGGTCACCCATTAGAAGCATCTCTCCACCCACAGCCAGTATAGCCCCTTTCTGAGTATTGCTCCAGTACTTCCAAGCACTGGGATATAAACAGAATTTTTTCCTAGCAATAACAGACTACACTTCTCCATCTCCCAATCTACACTCCCTGCCCCATACCAGGAATCCATGGCCATCACCCTACAGCAAGCTCCTTACTACTGAATGCTCCCAGGCCAGCCTACATATCTGCCCTCTCCAACCCAGCCAGTCCAGGTCTCTCACCTATGTCCTTCAATCTTTTATCTCTTCCTTGCTCCTCCATGCATCCCTCAGTCCCACAGCCCCTCTTCCTGACACCAATCCAATAGAAGGGAAACCGTCAAGCTGCTTCCTCCCTCAGGATGGACACTGCCTATGTCCTGAGGGCAGCAACAGAGGCGTCAACGGTGGCCATGAATTAGCACAGAGTAGGTCATGCCTAGATCCACAAACGGCCTGTGAAATGAGCTGGCACACTCTGCTTGTTTTCCTAGAACATATAGGTATAAATTACAGATATAGTTATACTGCAATGGATAGATAGAAATGAAATTACAGTCAGTTTTATGATGAATATAAGCTCTGGGACACCACATACCCATGGTATAGGTACAGTGATTACATTTTTAACTTTGATGCAAGTTACCATCTTATCTCATTTCTGTTTACAGCTCTAATGGGAAATCAGTTTCCTGGGCCCAGAATGAGAAAAGCAGCAGAGGAGCACACCTTTGGCAGCGGCTCTCAATCCACATCAACAAAAAAGAGAATCCAAATCAAACTGCAGTGATCAAGCCTTTTTCTAAAAGCACAGATAGTAGCCGACATAGTAGCAGCGCTACATTTCCTGAGGCCAGTGCCAAAACGCTTTATGAGGTTTCGGAAGCAGAAGAGCAATACCCAGCTCAGTACCGACCGCAGACTCCCTCGCCTATCAGCACCTTGAGCCACAGAACTGCCTCTGTTAGTCGAACAGAAGATGATGCCCCTACCTTCCAGTCTGAGCCTCCTCAGCGAAGTAGCTCCTCTCAAGGCTCCCTCATGGAGCAGATCAGTAGTGTGGTTACTCGCTTTACAGCCAACATCAGCGAGCTGAACTCTATGATGCTTTCAACAGCCACTCCAGGGACAATGGTGGCCACTCCTCTCTGCTCTTCATACCTGATCCCACGGGAAATCCAGCTCCCTACAACGATGACCACGTTTGCAGAGATCCAACCGCTTCCTGCCATTGAAGTCAATGGCGCTTCGCAGTCAGCTAGGAAACCTTCAAATGGCAGCATCAAAGAAGGCACTTCAGAGACCCCATCAGCCAAGCAAGACCTTGAGGAGTTGGTAGCTTTAACTCCTCCTTCTCCTTTTAGAGACTCCATTGATTCTGGAAGTGCATCTCCCAGCTCTCCAGTTTCCGAATCAGCTCTCTGTATCCCGTCCTCCCCAAAGTATGACACGCTCCTCATCAGAGATTATACTCAAAGTTCTTCTTCGCTGTGAATGTAGTTCAAGACAACGTTGGATCTCAACGACTACAAGCAAGTAGTGAGGGGACAGCCCTTCAAGATCTCCAGTGTTTATGCAGATAGAGTGAGAGGCATTGGGTCATCTTGTGAGAAACAGAGAGGAAGAAGAGGAATTACTTGAGAAGTGGAAACATCAGATTAATTATGCTGTTTTAAAGACAAAATGACTCTTGGCAGATTATCGTGGCCTTAAAAAAACATGGGCTTTTCAGAAACACTGAATCTATTTTTGAGGGCTTATAAGGAGTCTGTTAAATCCAGTTACATACCAAGTGCTTTGCTTTAGTATTACAATGAACCGTGTGTACAATATACGGGGCGGGGGGGGAAACTAGATTGTAAACAACTGTACAATGGTTTGTTTGTTTACTCTGATTCCTTACCCAGAAGTGAACCTTGATCTTTTATCAAGAATAGAAGACCAAACATTGAATGTACATTTTCTAACAGACTCAAATCTGGGACCAAGCTGTCAAGCTTTCTTTCTTTTTTTTTTCTATGAAGATCTCAAAAAGCAGTAATGTATGTTCAATAACTACCAAACTTTTTGCTGAAGCATATTGTGTCCGTGATACGTTACACGTGGATAACACTAAGCTGAGGCTTTGCAGTGAGTGACTGCAATATGGAGGGCTTTACAAGTGACTTCTCAACCTACACATTTGTTTATGAAATTCTCTTCTATCAGTATCAAAAATTTGATTTGTTAACATTGGATTCTCCTTCGCAGCAACAAAACCCAAGGAAGATTTCCTGACTATTTCACCATGTTGCCAACTAATAATGAAGTAGCAAAAAATATTTTCTGGAGTACTGTTTTGTAATTCCCTTGTCAGGGCAAGTTGTTGAGGTGAATATTCTCTTTCTAGCAGCACTACCAAGCTATATTATTGCTGCGCTCCCTCCTGAAATTAACACATTTTTATGGACTTTCTTGTGCTACTATTACTAGTTAAAATACTTATTCGGGCTCCCATAGTCTTTGCTTGTAAGGAACAGGCAAACACCCTAAGGATTTTCTCCATGCTTTGAATGACAGAATTCTAGGAGACCACCTGGATTATGATGAATGCTAACTGCCAGTGGAGAGGTTGTCATAATCATAATTCATATATAGGGGAAAAAAAACCCTGTGTCAAAATCTGCTTAGAGGTGATTTAGCTACTCTTTAATAAGCAACAATTTTATCTGTATTTAGCTGATGATGCCTTGCAGCTACGAACTGTGACAAAAAAAAAAAAAAAAGAAAAAATACTTTCAAAGCAATACAGAGTAAAGGTTAAAACAGAGAAGACCTAATGAGACATGAACCAACAGAGTCTTTCTTTGTTTCTTAGCAACTCACAAAAGAAGCAAGGGGATTCCTCATATTTTTTTCCTGTATCAAGATAGTACAGTTTAGTGCACTTCATACTGTCACAGCACTTTTTTAAAACAGGCAGGGAAGAGTTTTAAAGTTTGAATAGAAGCTAAATAATTTTTGATAGGTGTAGTTACATAGAACTTGTAAGTCAGGCCCTAAACGCACACTGTATTGGCTCTCTCCTTCATGACATAGCTGTCCTCAGGTGCCAAACTTTTATGGATTTGTTTTATTTTATTTAAGGATAGTATGAAGTGGTGAGTGATGTACTTCAATTCAAAGTTGAGTTGATGTAGCCTTATATAGAAGACAGCATCATGGAAGAGAGCCTTGAAATAAGGCTGCTATGTTTCATTTTCAAAACCTTTAGATCTTATTTCTTCAACGATAACAAATATTTTGCAATCAAAATTCATAGCCCCTTTTTCTCCCCAATGTCCAAAATAATAAATATTTGATCAAACAAACAAACAAGCAAAAGATGAAAGCACATTCACATACTTTAGCAAAGAGCATTTTCTATTCCTTTGGGAAGCTAGTTTCACTGTGATGTGCTGCACCCCAATTTGCTGCTCAACAACATTAAAAAAAAAAAAGTAATGGATGACTGAATCCAGGATGACACCTCACAGAGATACTCCAGTGACTCTGTACATCCTGCACAAGGCAGTGTTATCCAACAGCAATCTGTGGGCATGCTTATTTTGTCAGGTACAGTCGCTTACTAGCTATGCCTATAGCATGAACTGGCAGGTCACAAAACAGCTCTACCCCAGAAGGCAGGTAGATACACCAAGTCATGCCTGTAGGTCCTTGTTGCTCATATGTACTTCTTGCCTCCTCCAACAACTGATTATCACAGACTCAGTTCTGTGAAGCTGTATGGTTTCCAGACCAGAGCTTTGTTATGCCCTCCTGGTTCGCAGTATTAGCAGTCTCATCATTCCCTAGCTGCCCATCTCTTTAGGAGAAAGCATCTTCTTTCACGGCTTACAACCCACATATCCAATCAGTCTGTGACACAAACATTCTCATTTAGGCAGTCTGGACCAGTTAAACATTGTTCATTGAAGACTTATATGATAATATATGTTTCCCATCAGTGCAATATTGTTTTTATACATACAGAGCGTACTGAGATAGTTAATGTGGCTGCCAAAGGGATTCTCTTACTATCTGCTCTCTTATTGTTTAAGTTGTTGACCAATGTCCTTACTAGAACATTCTCCACCTTGATCTTTACCTAGCCTTTTAGGTTCCCATTTCCATAGTCTTTTCTTATGTTGGTGGACACAACATATTCTTGCAAAAAATCTGTGGGCTTCACTGCACTATGAAATAACCAACAGTGCAAATACAGATTATACAGACAGATATAAAAATATTTTCTGAAAAATTAGATTAGTGAAAAGAAGTGAGAAGTAGAAATTGTTGAACCATGACTCCACATAAATATACCTCTTCTGCTTCTGCACAATCCTGGCCATAGCTATTGCTCAGAGCTTCTTGACAACATTTATATATATTGCCAAACTGATATATGTATGTGTGTGTGTGTGTGTACGTGTGCATGCACGCACACACACAAACCCTCAATCTAAAACCTGAATACGTGTTTTAAGAGGCTAAAACCCTAATGTTACACAACCCAAATTTTAAACACTTTTGCTCACTCTCACTTTGGCAGGAGTCATGCATCTTTTATATATCCATTAGCCACAGCAGAATTTTTCGTTACCCAAGGAACCAAGGATGGGACCTGCTGAGATTTTACACCCCTGTTGGCAGTCTATCTTTAATGAGAGATAGGTCAGCCTTAGTGGCATTTAAAGAAGGCAAAATCTATTTTAATTGTACAGGCTGGAGTGTGCCAATATCACCGTGCATGATATGTTTGGATTTCAACAAAGGGAGGAAATGTTTTTTGGCAAAAAGGTAACAATTATTTAATGACTGTAGTAATAATTAAAAGGAGTTCAGTGGGAGATTTGCAAGACTGGAAAGTCCTTTGATAGAAGCCGCTGGGTTTGACACAAGAAAGAAAATTATGAATGACAGATATTATAATTTCATTATGCTGTTTGTATGCTAGTCTCTATTTAGGACATTAAGCTATAAAGGCAGGGTTTTTCAGACATAAAAGCAAAGGTTACAGTCATGAACACTTTCCAATCTAACTAAAGAATGTGCAAGTACCAAATGAATGGCTTGAAATTGCCTTTCAATTTAGTGCTGCTGCCAGAAAGGGAATTAAAGGAGTTGAAACTATTGTCATTCTTGACCACAGGGACCTTGGAAAATCACTTGTTTCTTTTGTGCTTGAGGCCAACCCTGAAGAGTGAAGGTATAACCACCTCTGGAATCTGTGCTTTCGAGATAAATTGAATCACTCTGGCAGGCCAGTTGGGAAGAAATGTTAGCAATACTGAAGAAGAACTGTATTTTTAATTGGCTCTGAAGAATAATTGCATGACTTTGGAGATGTGCTTCCTTGTACTTCTATCTGAACATTAGGTGCCTAGACTCATACAGATACCTTAGACCAGAGATTTTTAGACCACGGTCAACAAAGCACTTGCTGATGTTTCATGGGAGCCTGGTTGACCACAAGGTGCTGGCTTCTTCCATTGATTTCCAGCTACAAAGGTGAATCAAAAGTTAAATGCTAATTAAAAAATTAACTGTTAAAATTTTTAAAAGAAAAAAAAAAATGTTAGCTTTGCTTGGATGTTTATTCAGTTGCTGTGTTTGCAAAAGGAAAACTTTGTGATCAAAACTGAGAGAATAAGATCTCCAGAGAGAGTAAATGGGAAGGCCAATCCATGATTCAGACTCTGCATGATAGTGGAATTCACCTGGGGATGTCTTCTTTAGAGAGACCAAGACCAGACTGAAAGACGTATAGCTGTGGGTGTAAATTCTGTAGAGGAAAGCGTGCAACTTTGCAGTTCTTCTTAATACATCATTTATGAGGTGATAGGAAAAAACATGACAGCAACAAGACAGCATACAAAAAATGTTGGGTCCTTCAGGAAATCAGAGCACTATGGTTGGGATTAATAATGTGACCATGAGTTTTTTGTTGTATTGGAGACCAGTGTCAGGACTGACCCAAAAAAAGGACTTTGGTGCCTAAAGTTAGGATTTCAGCAGAATTAATACCTACATTTAAAACTCAATTTTAAAACCACTATTTAACTGCCACCTTAGTTATCTAACATTGCGGGTCTGCGTATGCTCAGAACTACCCTGATCTTGACACATGTAAGGATTTTTGCACCTAACTCATGTTAAAACCCATCAGGGATCCAGAAAACAGTGGTGCCTATGTTAAATCCCTGCATATCCCATGAGCGAGTACACAGAGCACACAGCACATAGTCCAACATGATCATACGCCCCACAAAACAGAGTAGAAATCATCCTTTGTTTTAAGGCTGAGGGTCTGGTTATGCTGCTGTTTTTACAATAGCCTTGAGGTTAGAGCAGTCAGACAGAAGCTGAGGGACCTAAATTCAGATATAACCATTGCCAGAGGTGATTGAAATCTTCCTCCTGGCTGGGCAGTGCTCTGATGACTCTGTGTTGGGGCACCCTCTGTTCATCTCACT